ACTAATCCTGAAATTCTTATCAAACTCATTGTAGCCTTAAATAGGATGATATGAACATTCCAGTCAAATGAATGAGGGGTTGGTCGGCCTACTCGACAGCCAGAAACTGAAAGTCTTAGGTTCAATCATGCTTAGGAAGTACCTGAATCAAGCCCTTTACGCGCCATACGTTATGCTTCAACACTACTATCTGGGAGTCATCTGGGTGCATAGACTGCATCTCCTGGCGGACTGATTGTATGCTTACATTGTGCTCCGACGACAGCTGAATGGGAAGAACTTCCCCCGTCGACCGAACAAGCCTCCCCAACACAGCTCGGGAGTCGCCAAGATTCGCAACGTAGAGTTTCCCATTACAAATCACAGCAACCAGGCAGCACGAACCAACGGCCGCAATCTGCGGGTTCATGGGCCATTGCTTGGTGACAATAGAGAGAAACCCCTCTTCTGTTGCTTGGAATGCTTTCTTTATCACATTTACAGACATTGCCTTTTCTTCAGTAGCAAACACTGAGAAACAGTAAAACATGACTCAATTTCAAAATGCTCGTAATGATTCTAAAGCCAAAGCAGCCTAAAACAAGTGCATTGAGCAGATGTTTGAACTCCTCTTACCTTTGAGATGCTGGAACAAGTTATCACATATGAACCGCGACGTCTCGGGGCCACCATGACCGTCGTATATTCCTACAAAAGTTCCATAGGGTCCAGACTCAAGCAAGCTCAAAGGACCAGACTCAAGCTGGCTCTGATCCTCAAGTAAATTGTTGGCTTGAACAACAGCCATTGAAAATTCTCCATTGATGTCGTGCCCATGGTCCTTGTACCAAAGTAGCCCATCTTGGCAGCCAACCGAATCCGAACCACCACCGCCCCGACGACGCAAGTGACGATCGGCACATGGCTGCCAGCAAGCCCTCAGCAAGTTCATCAAGCTTGATAACATCCCTCATTGCACCAGAGCCAGCCTCCAATTCCTCCACATCCGAAATGGATGCAACACCAATCCCACCTCAAATTCCTCCCCTGCAGACCCAACAATCAAACATTGAAGAGAGTTTAACACTCAAAATTCCCAAGAAACAAACAGAAAATAGAATCAAGAACAAGGAAGAACAGCAGGAACAAGAATCAGAACAAAATCAACCACAATTGAAGTTGAAGAACAAGAAACAGTCAATAATTCAACCACGGAGTAATAACAATAATAGAAGACTTGTATGAACTCACACTGTAAATTAGGCTATTCTGGCCAGTTGGGGTGAGCTACTACTGGATGATATCAAATGAAAACGACGGAGATCCAAAACAGACACAGCAATACATGTGCAAGTAAAATTGTTAGATCCACAGATCCATCAAACCCCAAAAAGAGCAATGGTAAACCTGTTCTTAATTCCACAGCAAAGCTAAAGAAGAACCCTAAAATCCAATTCGATGAAGAGAATAAAAACGAAACCGGACGAACTCTGTTTATAAGAAGACGAACACAGCGATTGGTCGAAGGCAGCAATGGCCATATGGAACCCTTCTTATGGGCTCCACTTCCAAACCCAAAAGAGAAAACCAAAGTAAAATACAAATTGTCAGGTCAATCCTCCACTTTCCATTAATTTACCTCTCGCAATCCCTCAATTTTTTTATCCCTTCTTGACTTTTCTTCCGACCCATTTCCACAAAACTTGAAAGGGTTTTTGTCGTTTTACCGATTCACGAAATGGGTGGAGTCATTTTCTTGATGTCGTGAACCCCAGCAAGCAAGCGAGTGGGGTAAATATCTCGGGGCTTCGCAGTGGCGCGAGAGGCAACGTGTCGATCGATTGAGAGCTACAAGACACCACGTGGTGGGCTTAAACGATGAGCAAGCGGCTTCCATTTTATGGATTCACAGCTCCAACAGCGAGAATCTGATGGGTCGCATTCTGTCTGAAATGGATCGATTTAGTGGCTGATTCGAAACGTTGCTTGTTCTTGAGGGGTTTTGTTCGATTTTGTCAAATGGGGGACTCATTTCTTTTTTCTTTGACTTTGAGAAATGCTTCAATTTTCAACCCTTTGTTTGTGATGATCCTCTCAACGTTAGTTCTTCTCGTGGGGGCGACAGTCCATCATTCATGGTCGACGAATTTTAGGGCTTGGAATTTATGAAATTCAACCAAATTTAAACAAAAATAAATAAATAAATAACCTCATTCAAATTTCAAAAATCTAAAATCCATAATCATTACTATTTAATGTTACGAAAAGATTTCCACACTCTTCATAAAAAATGCGTGAGAGGCCAACATTCTCACTATCATACCACTCCATGTCTGGCTCAGATATCATTTGTAATAGTTTCACTTTGGCTAACCACACCTTTCTAATGAATGACTCGTTCCTCTTTCAGATCAATGTAAAATCTAGCGGTAATATTGTAGTTATTAACTAATAAAATATTTAAATATTACCTTTAAAACTGGAATGAATTATAAAATGATTAGATAGATATTTTAAAAAATAATTTTGATGTAAAAAAAAAAATATATATATAATTTTATTTCTCAAATAATTGAATTTGAAAGTCAAATAAAAATGAATTATTGATCTCAATAAATATTTTAGGGATTATAATATTTATGAAGGCATTCCCAACCCTTTATTAATCATTTGTATTTAATTATCATTAATTAATTATCTAATTTTCTAAATTGTCTTTTTTAAGCTTTTTCATTGTAACAGCTTAAATCCATGGCTAGCAAATATTGTTGTTTTTGGACTTTTCAATCTTTCGTTCCTCTTTCCAATCGATCCAATCGACGTGAGATCTCACAATCCACTCTCTTTCGGAACTCGGTATCATTGTCGGCACTCGTTCCTCTCTCCAATCTATGTGAGATATCACAAAGACTCACGTATTTGAAAAAAAAAACATAATCCTCTGCAAAAATCAATAAAAAAATAATATAGTTTATTTATTTCTAATTATTTAAGAAAAAAATCATAATTAATTAATTAAGAAAAAAAATAAGAATCTCTAAATTTCAAGTCATCTTTCATTTTCAGAAAGATTTTGAGATTTCTGAATAATTAAAATCAAATTTATTTATTTGAAAATTTAATAAAAGTTTTATTTTTCCAATGTTTGTGGTTAGGGTTTATGATGGGGTAATGTTGATTATTTTATCATTATTAGTGTTCGTAATGCTTATTATTTATATTGTATTTACATTAATTATCTTTTTATATAATTTATTTATTGATTTATTAATCATATTATGAAAACGTCAATTCCGATGTCTAATTCATGAACCTGTGAAAATATCGATGAAGATGTTGACATACCCGAACTATAAGATTGAACCTATGAAATAAGATTAAAATTTTTAAACGATAAATATTGAATTGTAATTTTACATAAGTTTAGTTTCTCGGGACTTCAACTGTTTCTTAAACAAAGATGAGTTTAACAAAAACCTATCGGATTTCACTAATGAGCTACACTGCTTGACTTTAACTAGTTCGAAGTGTATATATATCTTAAATGGTTTAGACTTAGTTATAGTTTATAATCACCCTAAATGGTTTGGACAATTAAACTCTCAATTTTGTATCTAAAAAGTCTCGATCTATGTCTAACGGCTCAAACTCACCACTAATAGATATTGTTCTCCTTGAGCTAGCCCTTTCGAGTATCTCCTCAAGATTTTTGAAATGCCTCTGCTAGGGAAAAGTTTTCACACTCTTATAAAGAATGTTTGTTCTCCTCCCCAACCGATGTGAGATCACAATCCACTCGTTGACACTCGTCCCCCTTTTTCAATTGTTGTCTTTCTACTCTCCAATTGATGTGGGATCTCACAATCTACTCCCCTTTGGGGACTAGCGTTCTCATTGACACATCACAAGGTGTCTCACCCATCTTCGAGGCTCAGCGTTCTGCAGTGTTCACCCCTCTTTGAGGCTTAACGTCCTACGGTGTCCACCCCTCTTCGAGGCTTAACATCCTGCGATGTCCACCCCTCTTCGAGGTTTAACGTCCTGCGGTGTCCACCCCTCTTTCCTCTTCGAGGCTTAACGTCCTGCGGTGTCCACCTCTCTTCGAGGCTTAATGTCCTGCAGTGTCCACCTCTCTTCGAGGCTTAACGTCCTGCAGTGTCCACCTCTCTTCGAGGCTTAACGTCCTGCGGTGTCCACCCCTCTTCGAGGCTTAACGTCCTGCAGTGTCCACCTCTCTTCGAGGCTTAACGTCCTGCAGTGTCCACCCCTCTTCGAGGCTTAACGTCCTGCAGTGTCCACCTCTCTTCGAGGCTTAACATCCTGCGGTGTCCACCCCTCTTCGAGGCTTAACATCCTGCGGTGTCCACCCCTCTTCGAGGTTTAACGTCCTGCGGTGTCCACCCCTCTTTCCTCTTTGAGGCTTAACGCCATGTGGTGTCCACCCCCCTTCGGGCTTAGCGTCTTCGCTAACACACCGCCCGATGTCTAGTTCCAATAAGTTCTTTTCGAGTTAAATTGACTTGGTTATATTTTACGATAAACCCTAATAAGTACATTGAAAAGCTAAATTACAACCATACCCTTTAAACTATCTTTTTGGACTGTTACAAATGGTATCAGAGCCAAACACGAAGCAGAATGCTAGCGAAAATGCTACGTCCCCAAAATCTGATCCCACATTAGTTGGAGAGGGGAACAAAACATTCCTTACAAGAGCATAGAAACCTATTCCGAGTAGATGACTTTCAAAACCATGAGACTGACTATCAACATAACGATACAACTCGAAGTAATAATTTGATTAGTACGGATACGACATAAAATGTAAAGAAAATTTTGTATCTAAAATAGTAATTTTTTGAATTAAAAGTAATGGTTTCCTCTAATGATTAATGAAATGATTCCAAATTTGAAAATCTTACAATACATTCGCATGATCCTTCCTTTACCACTACCACTACCACTAATATAAACAAATGAAGGAACACATTTTTGATCCCAAAATAATGGACAACAGAATCTCAACTGTCGCCTGCATTCTTTAACCGCTCACCGGAATCCTCCCAACCAGAATCACCACCGGCGGCCAAGGAATCAGCAATGGGCACAATGACCAAAATACCCTCCCCGGCGGCGGCGCATAGAAAAGTAGTGAAAAACACGACCAAGGCGACGACGGAGTAAGCGGGCTGGTCGGGCGTCCAGAGGGCGGAGAGACCAAGGAATATAATCTGCAAGGGCAAGGAAATCAAAATGGTGGAGGCGAGGCTATAGACACGAACCCTGAGGGATTTGTTGATGACCATGGAGGCCACTTTCCAGCAAGAGAAGAGGAAGCAGAGGATGTACCCGAGGCCGAAGGCGGCGAAGGCCATGGAGCTTAAGAGAGGGTAGGCGCATAGGACGGTGGCATTGTCGAAATCTTGCTTGATTATGAGGTAGCTTTGGGTGAAGACGGCGGGGAGTTTGTCGTTGAAGGGTTTGTAGAAAACGATGAAGATATGGAGGAGGAAAATTGGCATGGAGACAAGGAGGAGGAAGGCGACGGCGGCCAAGTCACGTGGCGTTTTGTGATTGGCGGAGGCGTTGATTAGGAAGAGGAGGGTTATTAAGAAACAGGGTTGGAAGAGGCCGAGAGAGAAGAGGGCGTGGAGTTTGCAGAGGGTTGATTGGTGGAGAGAGGGGAGAGAGGGGAGGAAGGGGTAGAGGTAGCGGCGCCGGAAGAAGGAGAGGCGGAGGAGTTCATTGAGTGCCCATAGGGAGATGAAGGTCACCAGGAGGAATCGGACGGTCCACAGAGAGTTGAAGCGTTGGAGGTGGTGGGAGGTCCGGGATTTGAGGCGGAGGTGGAAGATGAAGGTCAGGGAGAGGAGGGAGAGGAGGAGGATGACGGCGATGAACCACACGGTGGTCAGGTCGAAGGTTGATGGGTCTAGGAAAGACAAAGGAGCAATGAAGAACATCGATTTTTAATGGCGTGGCGGCGGCCGCGGTGGCGGTGGCAGCAGCAGCGACACCAGGAGGGTGAGGGAATGAAACTGCATGGATTAGAGGAGGAGGAGGAGGGCATCCGGCAGGTGAAGTGGAATGGCAAATTTGGTAAATTCTGGATCAGTTCCATCGGCTTCTCTGTCATGTTATTATTATTAGAAGGTGGTTCATACTCCATACATGCCCTCCATCCATTTCCTCCCCCTTTCTTCCACCCGACCCTAACCTATTTTTCGTGCCCTCTAACCCTTGCACGTATCCTAGTTTTCTTATGCTATGAAACTTGATATGTTATGGAATATCGTGTTATATCATATTATATACTATAATATGAGATGACATGAAAGGATGAAATGATCCTGCATAATGTAGGTTCATGTGCATTGAGATACTTTCTTGTCATGATTGGTACAGACGCGTACACTACAATGCTATGATCATAGTATTGTGTACACCATAATACTATGAGTACTCCCTTCCTTTCGTGGCATACCGGTAGGGTGAGTGTACTCTAGTCAAAGGCTAAGTCTTAAGGGTATCTATATGAGCTCGCCCGGGGTCCATGTGTGCATACGTGGGTCATGTGTAGAAAAGTCTTATGCATCCAATTATGCACGTACTAGAAGTAGAGACCAAGGTCATATTGTGATATTTTATGGAATGATAGGTCCCAAACATGGTTGTATGGGATTGTACTTCTTGACCCAAGAGTAGGATTTCTGAGTATTTCTTAAAATACTTTAGTAATGTGTAAAAACGATCACCGGGTGCCAATCGGGTACCTTCAGAATATTTTATCTTCACTTATATGCTTTTTAAATGAAAAGTTTAACGTTCCATTAAACAAACACAAGATTCAAATCTATATCAAACAACTAAATCAAATTTGAACAATTCTCCACCTGAACGTCATAACTTATTACATATTCATAAAATTTCAAGAACGAGATAAACACAAACACAAAAGTTTAGTCTTCTATAGACATTTAAAGTGTGAGATCTCACATCGGTTGGAGAGGGAACGAAGAATTACTTAGAAGGGGGTAAAAAACTCTCCTTATTAGATGCATTTTAAAACTATGAGGCTGATGCCTAAATAGACAATATTAGCTAGTGGTGGGCTTTGGTTGTTACAAATAGAGCGAGACATAGGGCAGTGTGCCAAAGACAACACTGACCCCCAAAGGAGTGGATTATGAGATCTCACATCAATTGGAAAGATAACGAATCATTTTCTATAAGGGTGTGGAAACCTCTTCTTAGTAAACACGTTTTAAAACCATGAGACTAACGGCGATACGTAACAAACCAAAGTGGACAAGAGGACAACATCTACTAGTGGTGGCCTTATGTTGTTACAAATAGTATCAGAGCCAAACACTGGACGGTGTGCCAACGAGAACACTAGTCTCCAAAGGGGGAGGATTGTGAGATCTCACATTAGTTGAAGAAGGAACGAAGCATTCCTTATAAATGTGTGGAAACCTCTCCCTAGTAGACATATTTAAAAACCGTGAAACTAACAGCGATACGTAACAAGCCAAAGTGGACAACATCTACTAGTAGTGGGCTTAGGTTCTTACAAATAGTATGAGAGCCAGACACCGGACAATATGCCAACGAGAACACTAGCCTCCAACGGGGGAGGATTGTGAGATCTCACATCAGTGGAAGAAGGAGCGAAGCAACCCTTATAAGTGAGTGGAAACTTCTTCCTAGTAGACGCATTTCAAAACCGTGAAGCTAACAGCGAGCGACATGTAACAGGTCAAAACGAAGAGGCAAGACCAAAACACAAAACCCCATTTGTATTGAAATGATAGGAAGAGAAAGGGGGGTTTGGAATGGAATAGATTTTGATGATCTAAGAAAGAGTGGAGAGTTGGTGAGAGATTTGATGATGAACAGAGGAAGAAGAAGGTGGAAGAAGAGTGGGTTTAGACAGACAAAGTACTGTACAACCAACAAGTTTGGGACAGAGCTATCTTCATCTCACATCTGTCTCTTAGCTCAAACACTGACTACACTCTCTCACCTCTGACAACTTCTTTCTTCTTTAACTTTCACTTGTACTTGTTTACATTCATTTGGTGTTCCAATTTAACTCTCTTTCTTTAATCAACGTTTCTTCAGCTCCAAATTTGGATGTTTGGAATTCTTATTTCATCTAAATCTTATGTTATATTGTAATTGAAGTGGAATGAGATAGAGTGGAATCAAACATACCTATCAAAGTTAGAGATAACCTAAAGACACGCTTGAACTAGATCGAATAGAGATAAGACTAGGGTTAGACATGAATGAGTTGGACCTAATGGAGATAAGATCAAGGTTAGCCACGAATGAGTTAGACCTAATGGAGATGAGATCAGGGTTACACATAAAATCAATATTTTTGTTAGTGTACAAAATTAAATTAAAAAGAGATGAGACCAAGGTAGGCACGAATGAGCTAGATTGAATATAGATGAGATTAGGGTTAGATACGAAGGAGTTAGACGGAATAGAGATGAGATCAAGGTTAGACCCGAATGAGCTAGACCAAATAGGGATGAGATCAGAGTTAGACACGAAATCAATATTTTCTATCCCATTATCCAAAATTAGACCGAATAGAGATGAGAACAGGGTTAGACACGGATAAGCAAGACCAAATGGAGATAAGATCAGGGTTAGACACGAAATCAATATTTTTTGTCACAGTATCCAAAATTAGATTGAATAGAGATGAGATCAAGGTTAGACAACGATGAGCTAGATCAATATTTTTTGTCTCATGTCCAGAATTAGGCTGAACAGAGATGAGAATAGGGTTAGACATGGAGGATTTAGATGGAATGGAGATGGGTTAGACACGATATCAATATTTTTTGTCCTGTGTCCAAAATTAGACTAAATCGAGATGAGATCAAGGTTGACACGAATGAACTAGACCAAATAGAGACGAAATCAGAGTTAGGCACAAAATCAATATTTTCTATCCCAGTATCCAAAATTAAACTGAATGAAGATAAGATCAGGGTTAGACACGAATGAGCTAGATTGAATAGAGATAAGATCATGACTAGACACGAATGAGCTAAATCAAATAGAGATGGGACTAGGGTTAGACACGAAATCAACATTTTACATCCCGTGTCCAAAATTAGACCGGACCGAGACAAGCCAGCAAGAACTTGGTTATTGAGTCATTGGCAACCTGTAAAAGAAAAGAAATCTGAAAAGGGGTAGTAGTAATGATTAAGTTAGTGAAGTCTGAGAAAGTGTAAGAAAGGAGAGCGGGTTGGGTATTAGATTCTGGGCAATGAACTTTTCCAAGAAACAAAGTGATATTACTAACTCAAAACCACCTCCAAAACAAAAGGCCCCCACCACTCTTCTTCTCAGCAATCCAAAGAATCTCTAACAAAAAAACTAAGTCAAAAGAACAAAAAAAAGATTCAAGACCGGACACTTAGTAACAGTACAGCTCCGTTCCACGGTTTTAATTGATGTGAGAACTCACAATCTATCCCCCTTGAGTACCCCGAACCTCGCCCCACATGTGTATGTTAGGAAGAGGTTTCCACACATTTATAAGGAATGCTTCGTTCCTCTCTTCAACTGATATAAGACCTCACAATCCACCCCTTTGAGATCCAGCATCCAGTGGTTGGGTCTAATACCATTTATAAAAATTCAAGTCCGCCCCACGATTTTAAAACGTGTCTGTTAAGAAGAGGTTTCTACACTTTTATAAAAAATGTTTCGTTTCGTTCTCCTATTCAATCGATGTGGGATTTCACAATTCACCCCCTTAGAAGTTCAGTGTCTTCACTAGCACACCGCCCGGTGTCTAGCTCTAATACCATTTGTAATAGCTCAAGTTCACTGTTAGTAGATATTGTCCGTTTTAACCCGTTACGTATCGTTGCATGTATGTTGAAGAGATGTTTTCACACTCTTATAAAGAATGCTACATTAACGAAATCTTTTGAATTGAAATAAAATGTCTCGACCCGATGCAATACAAGGCACTAGCACTTCTAATGGTATTAATTAGTATTAATTTGGTTGTGGTTAGTTTAGTGTCCAATGGCGGCAAAGCCATATGGGATTGTCTTGTTCCATGGCAGACTGAAACGGGTAGGGAGGCTGTACAGTTCTTCTTCCACACCCTAAGCCACAACATTGAATCAATCAAATCAGCCTTTTTTTAAAAAAAATAAATTTTATCATTTTTAATATTTCAATTGGATATATATATATATATATATATTGTTTTCCATATTATTTGACGACATTATTGTCGGATTTATGGTTGTGCTTTTTTTGTGGTCCAGTCTATGAAACCAGCTGAAAGCATAATATTTTTTATTTTCTAATTCATAATTTTGAAACAAAAATAAAATAATAACAATATAAAAAGTTGAGGGTTATTTATTAATTTAGCTTAATCGAATCAGAATCATGTTTATATTTTATTCTCAGTATTCTTTATAAGAATGTGGAAGTCTCTCCTTAACCGACGTATTTTAAAAATTTTGAGGAA